AAGTTTTATTTTGTAAATATAAAACGTTTTTAGTTATTTATTATAATTTTTAAAATTTTAAACACAAGTGCCGGTAGTGCATATTTAAAAAAAATGAAGTTTTACCATTATTACTTTTTAAAACTTCTACATTCACAACAAAACATTTGAACTCTGTGACATTTGTATTCTATTTACCAGTGTTGATCATTAATTCATATTTATGAGGTGTAAAACTGAAATGAGTGTAACTTTGTTTTTGATGGATTTCAAGAATGGTAGATGTAATAGTTTTTTTGGCTTTTTGTATTTTCTTGAACAATTTAGAAACACACCAAAATATTAAAAAAAGTATTAGTTTCATCTGAGCCTGTGAATAAAGTTTAAGACAAGGAGAACCAAACATTTGATTTTAGAGAACCTTAAAAAATGCTTCAGCTTCCACAAACTAAGTGGTCTTTAATGGACTTCACATATTTTTCCTTCATCATGAGTGCAGCTAATTGCCTAAATACCCATCAAATTAATAATCCATCCTATGCCCCTGATACATACAAACAAAAATAGATCACAATTCAGAAAAAGGTAAGGAAAAAATTAGAAATTAGTAGCTCAGGCCCAAAATATGATGGTATCTCCAAATTCCCCTTTAACACTATGCATGTGAGAGGATTGAAGTGTGAATATCAAAACCTTTTTACAGAGTTACATTCAAAAATTAATTACACTACTTTATTATCAAAGTATGTTAATAAAGTTGGCATCAATAATATATACTTTATAATTAAAATGCTTATATTATATAAGTTTTAATTCTTTAATATCAAAAATAAATATTTAAATAAATTCAGTCTGCACCTCTAAGTCACATGACATGGTGGTGTTCTGGCTTCTCATTTATAAACAATTTCTCTTCCCTTATAAGGGCTTCAGATTGTTCAACCAACTAAGAATGGTTTCTATGGGTATTGGCAAGCCAGGATATAAAATTTAAACCTCTATCTTTCTGCTTCACTGAGATATCACTATATTTGTCTAACCTATACGACATGCCCTTCCTATATTCTATTTATTTTAAGAAACATCAATAATTCTCTCTGATATTGCTGTTGGGCATATTTATAATCAATAGAAAAAGCATATTCTAAAAGATAAGAATCAGATGCTTGTTTATTTCATTTTTGTGAATGAAAGCTGACAGTTCACAAGGAGTGCTTCTTATGTTTAGACTAAAGACATTATTCTAAGCTATAATGGAATTTGTTTAACCTATTTATAGGTTAGTTAGAAAGCCAGATAAATTATAGTAAGTTTGGGAGATTGCAGTCTAGAGCCTAATATATTTATTGCATTATAAAATGCATATCTAAAAGTTACATGAATTAATTTTTGACAGCTAACAAAGAGAGAAAAAAAATGCTTAATAAACCAACCATCCAAGTGCAAAAAAGGCCTCAAGGCTGAAATAAGTGTTAAATTTCTTGTTTTTGATGTCTATTTTTATTTATTATTATATTTTTGAACAAACTTAATGAAAATGTGAAAATTAGAAACTTATAAGGTTATCTAACAAAATGTAAATGAAAAAATAAAGACAGTCTTGTATTCTCTTTTTGAAGAATGTACTTAGGCTCCTGTCACTCTGAAGTAACTTGATAGTTTATATACCCTAAGCTCTCACTTTATTTTTGTTCTGTTAAGCTAGTTAGAGACATGGTTCATAATAACAATAAAGTTAAATGAAGGCAGCTGTGAAAAGGTTAGAAGCCTGAAGCTATTAGAATAAATAATTGTAATTGTCTGTTAGAATCTGCAGTCACTATTGAAAAATGAAAGTATATTATATTTTATTTCATATATTTCAATTATTCATTCACTTTAAATCGATGATTTCACTACAGTTAAGTGTTAGGGTAAGGGAGATAAGTTTGTTTTTTGAATTTCGCGCAAGGCTAGAGAGAAGGCAGCTAGTCATCACCACCCACTGCCAACTCTTGGGCTACTCTTTTACCAACGAATAGTGGGATTGATCGTCACATTAAAATGCCCCCACGGCTGAAAGGGCAAGCATGTTTGGTGGGATGGGGATTCGAACCCGTGACCCTCAGATTGTGAGTCGAACGCCTTAACCACCTGGTCATGCCGGGCCAAAGGAGATAAGAGATAAAATATAGTTTTAAAAAAACCTTTGAAATCATTTAGTAGCTTCTAAAGGTTATAAAATTTAAGTTTTCAGAGGTTATGCAAATGAAATGCAAAAAATGTAAGGGAGAAAAGACATTCTTAGCATGAAAATCCCCTTTCACTCAAGAAAAATCTTGATAAAAATACCCAATTAAAAGTCCGATTTTTTGTATGCAATAGATTTGTAGTATTTACTAAAAGCTTGCCAAATTCATGTAGATACACTTACTACATTCACAGTTATAGTAAGTATAGTTTCATGGTTACATGATGGTTACAAAGTTGGTCAAATTCACCAACCCATATGCATAGGGCTAACTAGATGTAACACTAAAGTTAATCAAACAATAAACAAAGAAATGAGAAATACCTGCACATTCATGTGGCCTAACAAGAGCGTTATGCCTCTTGTCCCAATTATACAAATTTCTTATCTTAAAGAAGATTGTGTTTGAGAAATCATATCTTTTTGTAGAAGAAAGTTTGATTTTTAGAGGCTTTCTGAATAATATCATATAGAAAAAAATACACTCACAAGGGAACATACATTTCTACTTCAAAAACAAGAAGTACTATTTTTGATATTTTAGAAATTGGCAGAAAAGTGGAATAAAATGAACAAAACCTATGTTTAAATATTTTGTAATATAAAAAAAACCTGAAATATATTTATAGCCTATAAATGTTACTTGTAACTAGTAACTAAGAGTACATGAAAAGATGTGTTTTTGGCAAATTCTTTTGAATTACATGGTGAAAATAAATCAAAGTCCAGTACACGTAATCTTTCACAAGTTAGTTTGTTTCCTCCCTTCACATTTCTACAAACTTGAACACTTGTACATTGTCATCAACTGTTGTAGTTCTATATTACAAATGACATTGACTAATGTAAAACAAATCAACTTACTTATACAAGCTCAACAACCGTGATACTTAACACAATGCCTGATTCACTCTATTATTTTGAAAAACTATTTATCTATCTACTTGACTACTTCTCTAACTTACTCTACTCTTGAAACAACATTTGACAACTATCCGGTACTTATAATCTAGCTTTGAATGTGCTATAACACTATGTCACATCCTTCAAACTTTCTAGGTGTTCTAGGCTTACTTTAAACCTTTTTGTAATAATCTAATTTTATTACAGTTTACTCATTATTCCCTCCCCTCTTTTTTGTATTGCTCCCCTTATAACATTAAGACCCCAAGCTCCCCCTAGCTAACATTTAAATTGCAACATAAAAAACATAGCTTATAAAATTGTGAAAAAACTGCTGAAGCATGATGTATCTTAAGCTTTCAGAAGAAATACCATTAAAACATTTTAGTTTAGAAATAATAATTGATACTTTAAATCTTTTGAAAGATGAGGATCGGTATACTGGACATTCTTCCAAAATTTAAATTAATGACAACCAAAAACTTTAACAAAATGTGCATAATAAATATACTTTTTCTCAATAGCAGTGAATGAAATCAATAAAAGTGTCATAAACTGACAAGAGGAGCAATACAAAAAAAGATGGGAGGGAATAATGAGTAAACTGTAATAAAATTAGATTATTACTTTTAAAACTAACAATCTAAAAAATTCAGAAACCAACCTTTTCCCTTCAGATTTCTTTGACAGACTGCTAAGAGAATTAATCTGTAGTCGATGAGCTGTTGAACTTTCAATACAAACAGTTACAGAATGGCCAAGCTTTCTCTCAGTTATAGCTAGAATAACAAAAATATAAAACATTAAAAATGTAAACTTCATTCAAAATACATTTGTATAGGAGTTATGAATACTGTTATATTTCATAAAAAAAAAAGACTATTCTGAGCATCAGAAACTCAGTTTGCTATTATGTAAAAAAACAATTTATCAAACTCAAGATAATGTTGATTGCAAAATATTTTTTAAAGAAAACAATGAATACTATGTTAGGTCAAATCTGGTTTTAATTTCCAGCTAGGAACTACAAACTACATGAAATTTAAGAAACCTACCCCTTTTGACAAATATGATACTATGATTTTTTTTGGATGTAGCAAAATTGATCAGATTCTTATGCCTATATCTAGATCATTGTTTGACAAGTGTTTGTGTTTGTTTAAAACTGTTGAACTGATTGTCACCAAACCTGGCAGGTACCCTAACAGCTCCCAGGTGACTGAATAAGGGGTTGGCATTTGGTTCCCCCACCCACCCCCATGTATTCAATGTGTTGAATGGATATGCCAGCTAGCAATATAAAACTAAAGCATTATGATAAAGTTTCTCCAAATTAACTATACAGATTATAACAGCAAAAAATAACATAACTCCAATTTCAATGTTACTGCAGTAGTAAAATAGGCTGAATGTTTTTTTTTTCCTTGCTTAAGTTGTTTACAAAAATCATATTCTAGAAGTTTTCTTGCACTTGATACATGTACCTCCCATAAAATTCTGAAGGCATACAGCACTTGTTTCATATCTGTGTACCTGAAAGAAATATTTTACACATTTTACACACATTGTTATAATTTTAGACAAGCTGAATCAAATTTTCTTTCAGCCACACTTTGCTTCAACACTCATTCATTAAACTTATTTCACATTTTCTTCTTTTTTTTTAAATCTGAAAAGTATTACAGAAAGATAAATATTTTTCAGCATTTTCCACTCTTTTCTCCTTGTCCAACAACTCAACATTATTCTGGTCTATTTTTGAACAAAACTCACCTGAAATCTCCAGGTTATACCATAAATATAACCACAAAAATCCTTCTCTAACTAAAGTTGACGATATTAGTTTGAGAGCATTAACATATTTGGAAAACATTGAATACTGACAATTATTAAAATTCAGGTTAATAAATGGGTAAGAACTAATTAGAAAACTGATTTCAAAAAGATACATCAATTCGGTTCTGGATACTTAATATTGATTGTCTCATAAGAAGTTTATGAAATTTCAAACTGATAATGTTACAGATGATATGGTCATATTTCCAATCTTATTTAATCCATCTGTGAAAAAGTATCCACCGTGTTCAAAAGGTGTTCCTTCAGTTTGTCTTCTCAATCATGTTCTAGTTGATATTAGTATGTCACATGATGTACCAACTTAGTTTAGAAATTGAAACAAAATTTGATAAATGACACAGCAGCTCTTTGCAACTGAAATAGTTACACTATTTACAGTGTTATGCTATTTGTGGCTGAAGATAAAAAAGTATTGTATAAGTACTGATAACACTGGCACCACCAAAAACAAAATTTAAAGACTTTTTGTGAAAAACTAGAGAAACAGATGGTTAGTTCCAGCTAGTGCACTGAACTTGTTAAGTGCACTATAAAAGTCATAACCTCTCACCTGTAATATCTCAGCAAGTAGGCCACCAGGGAAATTTACTTCAGATATTTGTGCAAAGCCACCAATGAGAAAACTATAGTAATACCATAGCTATTCTTTGGGCAAATTGCAAAGAACCAATTGTGAAAAGGCTTACCACTAACTTACTTGAATAGTACACAGAGGACAATTTAAAGGCTTAAAAAGATTTACCTTCAGTTGTCAAAAACTTCTGCATTTCTATTACGTCAATGCCCTCTGATAGACTATTCTTAAGACTGACCAAAGTATGTCATATTGACAAAGATAACACATATGTAGAAGTACAAAACAAGTTCAGCATTAAGTCATGGAAAATTAATAAAATAAGTTAAGTACTATGTTAGAAAAATGAATAAAGTTAGCCTTTCTGGAATTAACAAACAAGATCACACTAGACTGAACTAGTTAACGAGGCTGATTGTTATTCCTGTAGAATAAAAACTTTAACTCTTTCAACTACATGCAATTACATAACTAATTGGCCTTGGATGAGATCCCAGAAACACAGTTGTAACATTAATACAAAGAAGGCTTAGTGTGGTATGCAGGCATATCATGAGTTTCCTATATGTGTTTCCTTAGTAAATATAAATATAGTGTATATGTAGAATTTTGGTCAAGGCAGCCACTAAGTTCTTCTCATACTAATTACCTACTGAATTGGGTCATTCAACTATGGTTTCGTATGCACTTTCTTGTAGGAAGGATGTAAAATACAGCATACTGTACAGCAGCAGTGCTTTTTTCCATTGGCAATTCAGGTGATACCTCAAGGATGTAACATCTCTTGTTTTGAAGCAAGTGTGACCATCCGTCACGTGGATGGCATCTGCTACATAAAAAGAATGGCATTATTGTTCTTTGCACATCATAATGCCATGTTTTGTGGTATCTGACAGGTTGATATTAGATTAATATTCATGATTTATGATTGACTTGATTAAGATTTACAGATAGTTTGATGATTTGCTAGCTTTCCTGTAAAGGCTTCCAAAAGGTATATTTGTTTTAAAACCTTGATTGCTGTTTGACTGAAATACAGGTTGTCTCAGTATGTTTAATTTGTATCCAGTCTCCTTTTTCAAACTCAATCGAAGTCAAAGATTTCTGAATTTTGTCCTGCAAAACATTTTCTGATGAGCCTCCCATTATTCTGTAGTTTTTACCTAATTACACAATGGGAATGTCTGAGAATACCACAAAAGAGGGAAAAAAAACAACAACAGTGCCATGAATGTTCTTCTGAACTCAAAAGTTATTGAGTTAGCCAAGGCTTTGCACTTCAGAAAATTGCATTTTCAACTAGTCAAAGGATTTCCAACCAGGAGGAAGAGTTAGATAATGGGGAGCAACAGCTGTTAGAGTGAATTTTGAGACTAAGGCAAGTTCTTTCCTAAACATCAGACTTTTGCCAGTGCTGCAAAGGTCCGTGACTTTTTCCTTACTGCTGTCTCAGAACTGGAAAGGAAAACTGCTAGAATCTGGTGCAACCAGAATGGCTGATTTGGTTCTCCTCTTGAGAGCATGCACAAATGACGATCATCATGATGCCTTGTGGTCTGGCAAGTCCAAGCCTAATAAGGCAGTAGTTTCTAAAAAACTCATAGGCACTTGCTCAAAAAATAAACCAATCCTGGTTGTTACTGGATCCACCCATAACCAACAGATACAGAATGAAGGTGGGGCTTTTAGACAATATGCAAAAGCCAGAGCTGCTTTGCCACCAGGTGAAGGTGGTGCTCCATGAGTCAATTGCAAGACTCTATAATAGGAAGTATACTTCCAAAGCAACCACAGGTCACATAAAATTCTGGAGTCATGCAGAGCTGATGGGTGAACTATTTCTGACAAGTTCCTATTTTGTGGCCCAAGAGCAGAGATCTAACAATTGTCTGAACTACTTCCTTAAACATTTCAGACAAATCACAGACTGGAATGAAGGATTCAGAGACAGGTAGTGTAATGCCTGATGCAGAATCTGTGTGGTTCAACACTTGACTCAATCAAATGCTTTGTGAAAAGAAGCTGAATCACAGCTCCAATGATCAATCGAGATGATTACCTCTGCAGTTTGGAAAGTCACTGATGGTAAGATCAATGTCAGAAAAGAAGTATCATTCCTTGCTTTCCAAGATATAAAGTGGTATTTCACAAGGAGATGTAGGTGCTACTTTTTGTGATTGCCACTCAATTATCACAAAATCAGGATGGATTGTTGATCAAAAAGTGAATGAGACCAAGCTGTAAAGCAAAATTTAATTAAGAGACATCTATACAATATTGAGTGATAGGTTCTGAATTACTGCATACTGTCATTAGGGATAATGCCTAAAACATCAACAGTTTGGATAAACTAGGATGGAGGGTAAAAATTTGTAATCTTAGCTACACGGGCTTTGCACCCCCTTTCTTTCCATACTTGTGAGCAATTCTCTACAGCAACATGGCCATCCAAAATTTTGTGAGAATCGATCACCCTATCAAGCTGAGTAACTAGTTCTAGCAGACCGTGAAACTAACTAGGTTCTTCCCAGTACACTTATGTGTGTATGATTCCTGCATGTCCAGTGAGGGAATTATGTTCTTTATCAGCATAGAATATGAGCCAACTTGTTGTGAATCCGAGTTCATTATTTCACTGGACTTGCCTATATTTACTTTTATGTGACACAACTAAAACAAGTGGATCAATTTGTATACAGTGGTACAACGTTTTCATGGTTCTTCAACTGCTGTTGGAAGCTGTCTAGAAAGTAAAATGCATTACACTATGGACTATTGTATTTAGCCTAGGTTAGTCTGAATGTGTATTGATATATAGTGTAGAGACAAATGAATATTAATCTTGGGTGCAGAAACTTATCTTAAAAGTCTTAGTTCAGATGAATTTTGTTCATGATTATTTATTTCATGATGGATATAAAACTTGAGTTTAAAAGCTAATAAATGACAGCAAGTTACTGCACCATAGCTATTGAGACATTTAGTGGAGGTAACCCATATAGGTTATAAGAGTAATGGTATGAGAGCTAGAGACAGTCTACAGCTATTAGTGTATATGACAATGTGCAATGTTAAGATATGTTTACACGACAATACACCTGTATGAATAAGTATAAGTGTATGTGGTATTGACATATATATGGACATTACAAATTCATCCATGAGGTCTTATACCACAAATGAAATAATTACACAGAAACCACAACTATAAATGAATATATATGAATGAAAATAACGGATTTGATTATTGGCCTGTAATACACCACTTCAAGATAGATACAATGTAACCTGATATTTTCATTTATAGTAGTGAGAGAATGTTTTAGTTTCAACATCAAAATATTTGTCATCAGTGTATTTTCATGAAAAAGATGAGTAACAGTTAGGCTTGTGCTATGCTTGAAGAAAAATACAGTTTGACCTGTTGCTTTTGCTATGAGTAGCAAGTAATGTTTAAATGGATCCAAATGAAATACTTATGAGTAGTTGAAATTATCTGTGGAAAATGAAGTAATAGTTTATATGATACCAAAGGGAAAAACTTGTTGCACACAGTAATTTATTTGGTTATGACTGAATATTTTCAATCATACAAGTTAAAGTATTTCGAGAAACACATGGTGTTAACTGAATAGTTTCTTAAGACTATTTCAGAGCAAAGTGCAGTTGAAATGTATGAAAATGCAGACTGTAAGTGTATAGCTAGAGGAAATGAGATATCAGTTTTAATGAATTTCCAAAGATTACAACTGAGGTTAGCATTACGCAGTAGCTAACCTATTTTTGTTACTTGTGTAGAAACCGTAATCTGTAGTTTCGCCTCGCTCCTCCTTTCTTCATTACTGGACATAGGCTCTGTTTGCATAAAAACCAGGTAGCAGTAAAAGTAATGTAGTCGAGTTCCAAGGTAGTTGTAAAATGTTGTCATGGCAATGGCAACATTAAATAGTACAGCTGGGTGCAATTCAAATGTTATATCCAATGAAGTGTGAGGGACTAAAATGTTCACGAGTGAAATGGATATATTCTCTACAGGTGAGATAGACATCAGCACAGATAAGCCAATATGGAAATATCACTTGCCAATGGCAATAGTTTAATCATTCTGTCCCTAGGGGAAATTTTAGGGCAAAGGATTGTTGTAACCAAGTTGTTACAACTTTAACTGACATCTGTAAACCAAATTCCAATCAATCAGAATTACATAGACTTTACATCTCAATCCTTAATTTCTCAATTTAAGATAAAAATCTTAACCCTTTTGACTATCTTGCTCTCATTTAGCTAGTTGTGCTTATTTTTGTTCTTCTCATGTTGCTTCAGCCCAATAAATTTCTGTAATACAATGGAGAAGTATTTGAAAGTTTCCTGTTCAGCAACTTAGGGGATATTTCTGAATATACTGCCATGCTAAGAACACCAGGGTCCAGCCATACCTTCACCTTAGCAGAGCTCACTGATGAAGATGCATTGCTGGACGATGCATCTCACATAAAGGAGCTGGCCGAGGCCACTGACATACTGACCTTAAAGTCCTCACAGCCGCTATTAACAACTTCTGGCCAGACACCAACCACCAGGAAAAGATCCAATTAAAACCCAACAACTTTAGTAGCAGAGTGGACATTAGAACCTAGCTTGCCCAGCACCCAATCAGTGATGACACCTGAGGCCACCACAACACCGATCTAGTCAAAACTGCCAGATATGTCAGAAAGCCAAGTAAATATTTTCAAGTGTCTTATCAGAGGTTGCAATTTAAAAAACACCAGTAATACCCTATGAGCCTGAACCTCTAGTAAGATCACAATATACTTCCACCTAAGAAAACCTTCCCAGAGCTAAAAATCTTCAAAGAGATCTTCCAAGAGACAGAAAGGTCTACGACCTAATAGGTACAAGCTATATCCACTCAACATCAGTGTAGACAATCACAGCAACTCACAGTGTCAATGTGGAAGCATCAACATTGGTTGCTGTGCTTCTGTCTATGCCCCCAATCTCGACAGATACCAGCTCTAAAAACCCACTGCCAGTAGCAAGCAGCCAGGATGAGGGATTTGGGAAGCCTGGGTGCTTTAAACCATGAGAAAGGCTGTCTGTTTAAGCATTGGGAACCTACTCCTCACCTCTAGGACTTGGAAGGCCTAGGAAAATGACAACAATTGATTTACCATAAACAATAAGTGTATTTGTTTATGATAGTAAAAAAGATGTAAAAGGATATGCTAGAACGTGATGAGTTACTGTTGCAATGATTAGAGAAATTAATGTTCTTTCCCATATATTTTGTATTTCCCTTAATTGGTCTAATGAAGGTTTTGATGTCAACATTACAAGTGTTTGCCTCTTCACTCTATACTCTTTCTGTAAATGTTACTAAGAGTTGAACGAGCTTTGTGAACTATGATGTCCACAACCTTGCAAGACATCCCCATCTCACATATTATGCGCATGATAATACTGCTGTTTTTAAATATAAATATGTGATTATAATATACACAGTAATAATTATGATTTCTTGTGTTTGACTTTTTATGGAAGCAAGAATTTTCTCAAATGACTTTGTATGCTTTATATAAGCTTACATAATTATTTGGCCGAAAAAAAGAACTATGTATGGATCTCATGTTCTCAAAGTGACAGTGATATTTACTTGTGAGCTCATTCATTCAAGAAATGTGCATTATGAATCAAAAATACAAACACATTCAGATATTGGCACAAATAGATTCTTATCCTATGCAATATTAAAATTAGTTAGTCATATCTTAGAAATCTGCATTAAATATTCATGTTATAAATTGGTGATGTGCAACAGTATTTTAATTTAATCCCTTAACAAGCTTATTATAATTAAATGACAATTATAAAACCTAGCACAAATTCAACTGAATGAAATAATCAGAAATCCTGATAAAAATTTTAAGTTCAATCATCAAAAAATAAAATCATGAATTCAGCAGGGAATCATATTTTATCCAAAATTAGCCTAAGCTATAGTAAGTACTGCTATAAAGCTACACAACAAGGTGTATATAAAAAAACTTTTAAAAATAAATTACCTTACTTTTTATAAGTTTTTATACTTTGAAATTACCACATTAACTACTTTAAATGAATTATTCAGCTTATATACTAGATGTAGTAGTTAGCCATTTATTTACTACAATTATTATAGCAATTGAATCTACAGTCAGTAATAAAAAACTGATGTTGCAAGACACTAAATAAAATGCTGTTGTACTGAATAAACCTTTGCTTATGTTACAAAAAAATTTGAGAAGAACTTAAATTGAAATAAAGAAGTTTACGAACTATTTTTGTGAGCTTATATTAAAATAAACTAAAATCTTTATTCTGAACTTGATGAGTTATAAAATATTGAAAACAAAATTTTTTAACGATTGAACAATTACACATTTGCTATCACCTAAGTAAAACAAACCCACTCTGTTGTAATGAGTTCAAACATGAAAAAAATAAGACAATTTTAGAAAAGGCACATATAAAAAACATAAAATAAGTAAATTCTATGCACCTATTTTTCTATTTGAAATAAAACAGTACATTTTTCAATTCTGAGCAATGAACATATTCACAAATAATGTCTATTTCTATATTTTTGATTTTAGAAATTGGGATACTTGGATCAACAAATTCACAAGTTTTACTAATTGATATTCATATTTATATACTTAATTAAAATAATATTTCAAGAATACTTTTCCTCACACTTTCTGTAAAACATTTCACCAAAACAAGAGTTCCTTTGACTTCTAAAGTCTTTGCTTGTTTGGTAGAAACTTAAAGGATAGAGAAATCTAGGAAGAATAAATTATATAAAAACCTGAAAGAAACTCTAGAAAATATGTCTAAATACCATCATACCTGAGAACTTAAGCAACTAATTGCAATCATCTATAAATACATAAATATTCAGAAAAGACGGCTTTTTGGAATATGGCATGCAAATCAAAAATTAACATTTTATCAATAAACTGACAAATTTTTCAATAAGTTTGTGCTTTGACTAACTTTTCTATAAAGTACAATAAGTCTAATGATTGAAAACATACTCTAGCTGGACAAAACTTGTGAATATACGTAACTGTATAAATAATCAGTTCAGCAAAAATATTAAATCTGTATGATTTCTGAGCAAGAATACTAAATTTTCATTTAACTATAAAAACTTTAACAATGATGCATACAAAAAAATGTACCATATTCTGAATTTACATAATCCTATTTTCTTAAAATAGTTTGCCTCATGCAAAATGTAAGCTAATTTTATATTTACATTGCTCTTGTACTTTTATGAAAATATAAACATTTTATATGTAAATTAATTTTACCATCAACTGTGAAAGGAATAGATGTTTCTGTCTCAGAGTCTAGAAGATCATATGGAGAGATGAAGTAGGTGAGCTTCATTGGATGACCTAGAATAAATGCCATAAATTCATTTTCTCAATAACTGTCTTCAGTAAAATAAAAACTTAAATTTAAATTATAATTCACCTCTTTTTTTTCTCAGTATAAAAATTCCAGTAAATCAGAAAGGAGTTCCTGTTGCAAGTTAATAATTCTTTATACTGGATAAATATAATGCAGTATTAAATATAATAAGATTACAATATGCTACATGGTGGGGTTTATAAGTTAGCCAGTCATGTAAAAAGTCAAGAAAATTTCTCCAAGTTTTTGTATTTATATGTGGCAGTTGCTTTCACTATATTGATACATATGACAAGAAAATTATAGAATTTCTGTAGAAGTTTTGGGGTTTGCAGAAATCATTTTTATTTACTCAGCAGTATTGCAATGTAATGACATAAACAGCCAACAAGGTAAATTGAAATCTTGCTATAGAAAAAAGGTGAAAGATTTAATTAACTCTGTGAAACCCAAATGGGTGATCCTACTCTGATGGAAAAACTGCACCATTGAATTAAAATAATTATAGAAAATGAACTTGTAGATGTTCTTCCACATAATTAAAAAATATATATACTTCAGAGATAACATATGTTCAAGAAAAAAAGTTATATTTATCTAATTTTATACCTAAAACATTTTTAAGTCACAAAATGTGACTTTCAGTTTATTTCGGCAAGCTCTAAATGAAAAAAAAAGTGTTTGTGAGTTTCCCGATATTTTCTTGAGCATATGGCACTTATGCTCAAGAAAAAAATTGAAATGGTTTTTATAAAATACAACTGGTTTTAACCTTTTCACTACTGAAAATGCAGTTCAACCTGCTCATTTTATATTTTTCCTTCTACTGCTTGACTTTCTGAGTTTGTTACTTATACCAAAGATGTTGCTCAGCCGTAATGTAACTTTCCTTCAAGCTGATTGCTTTACTGAGATATAACTATGAATATAAGTATTAGTAACTTCAAAGTCATTCCATACTGAAAAGGAAATAGCTGCATTACTCTATTTTGTTTTTCAACCATTCTTTTCAGCATACTTGGATGATAACTCTCCAGACCCTGAAATCAAATATGCTGTTTGTGTGCAGAAAGCTACAAATAAAATACACAGTTACTCAAAAGAAGTTTTATTTAGAAGTATTTCTATTCCTATTATGAAGTTCACTTTTCTTGCAAACTGACTCAGTGAAATCTTTAGTAGATATAATATATTTAAAAAAATCTGATTTTAGTAATTATGGTAATTGTTAACTCTCCAGTTGGCTTGGTCCAATGAACCAATATCATGTACAGAAGGTTAATTCTTTAGAAAGAGGTTATGATTCAAATGAATATTTAATATTAACTTCCAATCAGAAGATTCTATTTACTTATAAGACATACTGAAAATAAACCTCTCAATCAGTACAGCTAATTATAGTTTTCTACTTACGAAGGTTAGAATACATTGTTTTGTCAGTTGAGTACCTTCACTATTATTGATATTTACAGCCATAATCCAATATCTCATGAAGTTTGGCCAGCTTATAAAATTTAGGTCAGTCTTAAATACATATACTAAGATAACAATACAAAACAACCTTTATAATAAGGTATATTTTTGGATATATTAAACAGTATAACTAATACTGTTAATGAAAGTAACAATAAATAATACAGTATACCTTACTTAGGGAATATGTGTTATTCAAAATTAGTCTCAGGTACATATAAATCAATGCTATATTATTCCTAGGCATTTGGGAAGTTGTTCTTGATACAGTTTATGATAAGTTTAAAAAGCATATATTATTCCATAAACTCCTCCACAAATATGCTTATATAATAAAACCTTTGATCTTTAATTTGAAAATCTTTAGCCACAAATTAAAAGTCTGAACTCATTATAAGTTTATATAGTACATACAAGATGATTTGTCCCGTTGATATCAAGAAGTATAACTGTATGCCACTTGGGTAACACAAAAATATAGAGCTCTAATAATTACACAAGTCATACATGCCATTTTCTATAAATGAACACATTTGTTCCTATTGTTACCTACAAGAAGTTACAGCTTGATGGCAACTTTTATCTGAACAGTCAGACATACATAACTTTTCTGATACTTCTGCTTATATACATTAAGTCATGATTTTAAAATACTCTTGTATAAGCAAATAATTATTTTCTATCTTTTTTTAATTTTATTTTTTTTATTTATGAGACCTATAACCACATACGACACCAGGTTAATTTTTGTAATATTTAACTACCGACACAAAACAAGGTCTGTTATTTTATCTATCCTAACTATACAGGGTCTGTCAATTTGGAAATAAATATAAATTATGCTTTTTTTTCATTCTAAAATGGCTATAAATTATAACACGAAAACACAAACGTTTGGTCTAAATAGCTTAAATCTCATAACATTATACATTTGTATTATCTTTATTATATTGACCTTCTAGTCATGCCTGACTAACATTACAGAAGTTGCAATGATGCGGTGCACGTGCATTCATGCTACCATATCCAAGAATATAAAATTGGCCTTTACAAAGTGACCTGTCTTGGCTGTTTTTTAGTGGACTAGTACTTTGTAAAATACAGTCACATTTCAGTTTTAATACATTATATATGTATATACATTATTATTATTTACAAATAACTTCTTCAACATATTTTTCTTAAAACATAGAACAGTAAATAAAGAAGCACATCAAACAATTATCTCTTCTAGTTATGAACTTTGTACTCGTTTACTATAGGATGCTAAGCCTTATAAAATTTCGCATGTGGAGAATGTGAAACAAAATAATTTTCTTTAGGTTTATATAAACATTTGAAATAACTAAAAATCATAACTCACTATATCAATACCACAGAATTCCACTATTTTATCAAACTTAGTAACTCAGCTGTATTTGAGTCTAAAAAATATGAAATTTCGAGCTCACTAAATACTCACCTCAGCTTGAAGATTTGTAATGAAAGAACGTAATGTCATTGTAATACTTGAACATGGCTCTGAAAGCCACTAGGGGGACATTCTGAGCTTTTGATTGGTTATTCACATGTTATATACAGAAGTAATTGTATATATGGGAGCATTTCCAAAAATGTGTTTCAGTCAGTACATGAGCAATATATCAGTAAATAGAAAAGATAAGAGGTTCTTATTTTATATTGTATCTTGTTAATATTGGTAACTTGAGCTCATAATTCGTATGAAAATATAGACTTTGTATTTTGACATCAAAACATCTGATTTGAACCAGTGCTGCATTCAATATACCACATAACACACAAAAATCGATGTTTAGGTGTGTTTTTTAATATTTACTTTTAAATTAACAAATCAAATAATGTATAATATTAAAATTTGAATTATAATCTACAGTTTGATACCAAACTTATTGACATAAATTCATAAAAGAGTAGTTCAATAAAATTTTAAATGCAAGTCGACAAACACAATGACATAGCCTTTGACCAGTGGCAACAGGATTAAACTATACAAGGTAATTCTATAAACCCTATATAACCTGCAATCCATAATACATAGTGATGAGAGATGAGAAAGTAACGGAATTAACTAATGGATTAATGAGACACATTAATTGACTACATTCAATTAATCAATTATTCTCATGAGTTGGCAAAAAAAACAAAAAACGTATAATTTTTCAAAATTATTTTGGCACGTGTGTAATGTTCAATCTTAAAAACTAAAAACATTTTAAAAAAACGATTATTTTATACACAATTCAATAAAAATGAGATTGTTTCCAGTCTCCAAATTACTAATATAATAATTTACTGTGCAAGGCTAAAAAGTGGTAAAAAAAACCCGAAGTGTTTGGATTGTGTATGAGACTGTTTTCCAATCTAATTTTTATTGAATTATGTATAAAATAATCGTTTTTTAAAACATTTTTAGTTTTTAAAATTAAAGTATAATGTTAAACACCTGGTTTTGAAACCTATGAAGGGCAGAGAACAGACAGCCCATTGCATAGCTTTGCATTTAATGACAAAAAATAAGAGCAACATATAGATGACTTTGATACTTGGAATAATCAAAAATAGTAATAATCGGACATGCTTTTTTCACTTAGTTGCTTATTTTCATGGGATGTGACACTAACTGATTGAGGCTGAAGAAACTTATGAAAAATCATAACAGTAATATCTGGATTACCAAACAGTTGGAATAATCAAGAATAATGATAATGGGAAATGCTAGTTTTGTTAGTTGATTATTTTCTTGAGATTAATTAGTTTAATCATAATTCTGATTAATAGATTATTTTATGTAACACTAATGTAAGTTCATAGATAATCGATTATATTGACCAATCAAGTTAATTGCCCAGCTCTTTCAACTTAAAGTATTTTCAACTTTGTTTTTTGTGAAACAAAGTATTTTGACGTGCAAAAAACGAGATAATCATGACGTTTTTTAGAACTTTAACCAATCACTGTACGTGAGAAAAATATTTTTTTTCTAACCTACAACATTGATTACACTTAAAAGCACATGTACAGCTTCTAAATTAGGGAAATTATGAAAATCAGTCAAATACTAATTAATTGGTTGTCAATAACTAGGAAATTAGTTTTAAGTTTTTTTCTTCTTTTGGCTAAAACCAAAGCCCTTAATCAAGGGTTTGGATTGCATAAAATAATTTAATTGTGGATGTAAGTTTTCTTTTAAATTGGATTCAAACTCTTGATTGTATGAACCTTTTATCATTGCTTTGTATATTGTACAACTTCAGAGTCAGCCTTGATCATAAGTTGCTTATGAAGCCACATATTTACTTGTATCCCAAAAGAAACAGTGATTAAGACTGCAGCTGACTACTTGCATTAGAAACAAATTA